TTTTTTTGGTAATTACCTCTGATTAAAGCTTTTTTTTTTTAAAAAGGATGCTGCTTGGGGGCTGTGTGTGGATGTGGAGTGGAGGGGATCAATGGGTTGGAAAAAGGGGGACACCTGTAATACTTTCAACAATAAAAATAAATTTAAAGAAAGAAGGTGCTGCTATTTTAGCCTAACATTTTTTCGTATTGAATATGTGGATAATGTAAAGTATTCTTAGTAAAATTTGTATTTTTTCTTTTCCAAAAGATTTTATTACTGATTTGTTTGAAGGCAGAGTTATTTTTTGATTTGTTTGTTTTTAAATAAAAGTGCTTCTGGTATATGAAAACCAGGGTTTTTTAGTTTTTTTAAAAATTATTAAAGTGACCCCTGTACCACGCTTTCTAAATTTTCATTTGACATCATATTTCAACATATCTTTATTGGTTGTAGTGAGATCTTGAAGAGCCTTGGTGTGCATGCAAAAGTGTGATTCATTTTTTTAAAAAAATATGTTTTTTTGATTTCAGAGAGAGGAAGGGAGAGGGAGAGAGAGATAGAAACATTAATGATGAGAGTCATTGATCGGCTGCCTCCTGCATGCCTCCTACTGGGGATTGAGCCGCAACCCCATGCATGTGCCCAGACCGGAATCCAACTGTGACCTCCTGGTTCATTGGTCAATACTCAACAACTGAGCCCTGCTGGCCGGGAGTTGTTTTTTTTTTATTCATCAAATTATTCATTCATGCATGCCATAATCTGGTAAGGTTTCACAGTGACACTCTGTTCTAGTCACTATGCCAAGTGCTGGAGTGATATGTGTAGAGCTAGACCTGCTTTCTATGTGACCTCCACTAAAGCCTGGGGAATCACAGAGAATGCCTAGGAAATACAAAGAACAGGCTGGTTCCCTGAACCACAGAGGTTCACAGGAAAATTTTCTGGAAAGGCTAACCTTGAAGTTTAGGCCCTGCTCAGTGGCTACAGGTGGCCGCTTGAGGTTCTGTCCAGTCCCTTGTTAATCCACTGGCATGCTCTGCCTTGATTTCTCCCCAAATTATTCATCTCCATCTAAGTCACAGGCACTTCCATTCACCTAGATGCTCAAATGAAAAATCTTAGAATTATCCTTAATTGTTTTTCTCTTACTTAATATCAGATATGTAAACACATCTTTTTAGGTCTACTTTTACAGTATATCTCAAATCCAAACACTTATTACTTCCTGCTACCATCTTGGTCCACCATGTCCTTACTCCAGGATTACTACAAGAGCCTTCTAAATGGTCTCCCTGGGGCCTGAGTCTAATCTTGGCACTCTACTGGTCTTCATATGGTACCAGAGGGATCCTGGTCAAACATGAGTCAGATCACTTCACATACCTGCTCAAAACCCTCCACTGGCTTCCCATCACCCTTAAAGTGAAATCTTAAGCCCTCACAATGGCCCACAGGCACTGGATGATAAGGCCCTGCCTCTCTCTACCACCCCAGCTTCACTGCCAGAGGCTGTTTTACTGTAAAGCCGATGAGTCCAAGCTTTAGGGCTGCTTATTTGCAAGACCACTTCAAAACCCTGTACTTAATATTGTGTGCATGTTTTCAATAGTTTTATAAGCTTTAATTCTTACAAAATCTAGATCCATTCTTACCTTCCACTCTTCCTTCACTCATTCTGGCCTTGCTACACTGAAGTCCTTGATGTTCCTCCAAAAAGCTAAGAATGCTCTTCCTTCAGGTGCTTTGCACTTGCTGCCTCCTCTGTTTAGAACCTTCTCCCCCAATCTTCTTTAAGCGAGGGTCTCAGAACTCTGTGCAAATATCATCTCAAAAAAGCCTTTCCTGACAACCATAGAGACAAATGCCCTTCCCCCCATCATTCTCTAAATACTTATCCTGCTTTATGTCTGCTCATGGCTTCATCACTGCCTGAAATTTATCATGTATTTGTTTGGTGATTGGTTATCATCTGCCTCTGATGCTATAAGCTCTGTGAGGGCAGGGATTTTATCATGTTTATTTTTGAATCTCTAGAAAAGTGCCTGGCACAAGGTAGGCACCTAACAAACATTGACAAGATGAATGGAACATGGTGTGAAATACTGCTTACAACAGCATCACATGTGACACTGTTGATGATTCACAAACACTCCTGTACCCATTCTTCACTTGATCTTCCTGACAATCTTGGGAAGTAGTCATTTGTCCAATAATATGTATGAGGCCCTGGGCTGGGCACTCAGCTGTGAGAAGAGAGAGATAGGTCTTGCCCTCATGGAGCTCACAGAGAAAAACTCAGTTTTTTCCACCTCTCCTCATTTAGTGCCTTTTCTCCATCCAGCGTAACGTTCCTGAGCGTAGTGATCAAAACTTGACATTGCATTTCTGGGGCAGATGGACCATGATGCAAGAATATGCATATCTGCATCTGACATGCTATGTAAAATTCTGGTTGATTTGTATTATTAACATACTTACAACTTCCCTAATTTTGTTAACATTCATTTGTACAAAACAGATCTTCAGAAGCTTCAACACAGGCGTGAGAAAGAGTCATTCACCTCTTAATTCACCCACCCACCAAACATTTATCGATGCCTGCTTTGTGCCAGGCATTATGTTAAGTACTGTAGATACAGAACTAAATAATGCATGACCCTCAAGGAGACTAATAGATAAAACAGACTCGCAAACAATTATAATATAGTTCAAGGTGTCAGCTGCCATAATCGAAGTGAAGTGCATGAGGCACTGAGGTGGCCTATTTTGCTTTGTGGAGAAGGGCTGCAATAGGAGAATTAGCAGGCCTTCTGACTCAGAAGAATGGTGGTGGGGGGGAACCTGGGGAGCAGGGATGGAAGAATAGATAAGAGATCCTGTTGAGGGTGAAGAACGGGTGAGATGGAGAAAGTAGGAACACAGGGAGTCAGAGAGGGGGCTTTCAGGACTCAGGAGCTTGGTTGGGGGTAGGGTTGAGTGATAACCAGTTTGTAGTCATGGTGCAGCTAGCTGGTGGGTATGGAGGTGGAAATGTTAAGGACAAGAGAGACCTAGGAACTGTAAGGGAGGGCGCTAGAGGGCTTGTTAAAACAGGTGTGAGGGTCCCTCATTGCTGGAATGTAAAAGTGTTGCTGTGAGGGAAAGTGGTTATCTAAAGGCAAACATCCTTTTCTGTCCCTTTCAAAGAGATGATCCAGTTTGTATTAAATTATAATCTAATTTAGGTATGTCTGCATGGGCCAGTTCCAGGGTTGAAATACTGAAAGCATTTTATGACTCCTGAGGGTGATAATTATATTGTGATTATGATGATAGGCAATACATTTAATTTTTATGGCAGTCTGAATATAACTGACTGAAATGATTCTCGAACAATGTTGCTGAAGAGTTAAATGAGCATTGATTTGAATGACTCCGCAATATAATCTGTATCTTGTGCTTTTCTGGATGAATGCAACCAGTCAGTCCTAGCCCAGCACCCTTCCTGCTGTGGCCCGATGACCAATAGCACTGTGTCCTTCACTCTGGAAGAGCACATTGTATTATTTGTTCCAAGACTAAAGAGTCTGACATTTCTCAATTATTTAACAAACTGGCCCACAACTAGCTTTCCTCAAAGTGGTTACTTGTAAGGCCGTGCACAGCATTTCAGAGGCTGAAGATTCTCTTCAGGGCTTTTGGGGAATATTTCCAAGTTCTTTCATGGCTTAGAGTCTGGATTCTGGAGCCAGGCTGCTAGCATTTGAATCCTGACTCTACCATTTAGTAGCTGCATGACCTTGGGCAAGGTACTTATTGGAATCTCTGTATTTCAGTTCCTCATTCATAAAATAGGGGTCATACTGACACCTACCTGTGAGTATTAAATGAGTTACTATATGGATGGCACTTGGAACAGTGTCTGGCATTTAGTAAGTGCTCAGTAAATGGTAGTTTCAATCATCATTGTATCATCTCATTAGGCAGGAGGCACTTTTTCAAAAACAATCAGTATGTAAATTACCTTCTATCCAAATCATTATTCTAATGTTTTATTAAGACCACCCTATATGATTATGGAATAAGAAATGTGGGTATATAATTATTGCATTTACCCTCAGCAGTCGCCATTGCTTTAGAACTGGCAGATCATTCCTCCCAATTTACATTTTGCAAAAAGAGAGCAAATCTTTGTTTAATGTAAATAGCTTTTGAGACACCAATTCTATACATTGTACAAATTGTTTTCACTTAAACAAAGTTGGATTTTGCTATTGCAATTCTCATGTTCTGTTCATTTTATTAAAATGTAAAATTTCCCAGATCAGCCTTAGATCAGCATTCACATTTTACTAACAGAGAAGAAAATAGTTAACATAAGGTTTAGGAAGGATGCAGAATTCCTTACCGAGAGATTGTTACCCATAGTCAACCAGTGTGTTCCTCATAAAGAGCTGAAGAACCTGGGGCGAGGACTCACCTGGCCGTGGTAATACCCCGGCACCCCCAGCTTGCAGGCGTCCAGGTTGAGGGGCTCCTTCAGCTTGTTCATGACACAGCACTGGCGAGGCCAGGGGTAGTCGGCGTCGTTGTTCTCAGTCCGGAAGGCAGACGTGTATTTCTGCCAGTCGGATGGGCCGTTCACACCACAGCAACTGTCCTGTCAGCAGGCGAGAGATACAAAATTCTCTTCCATGGCTCTTAGAGCCATCAGTGTAGCGACTGAGATTTTATGGGGAGAATGAAAGTATGAAAAGTGTACCATGTTTTACGTTTACTAAAAATCCCCCGATGAGAGCTGAAGGTATTGATAATGTACACTTTAGAGTTTGTAAAATATTTTTATGTTTATTATTTTACTAGCCATGAATGAGCTCTATAACCTTTGATAAGTTGTTTAAACTCTCTAAACCTCAATTTCCTTAATTGTAAAATTGGGATAAATAAAGTGCCTACCTCATAGAATTGTTGTGAGGATTAAATTAGTTAATACCCTTGTCATGTTTATGTACTCTGCCTGGCCCATAATAAACCCTCAATAAATACTAATACTTAAGAAATAGAATACTAATATCTTGATACAACAATGTGAGAGGCATAATTAGCCTCATATTACATATAAGCAAATTGAGAATCAGGAAATTAAATTTCTAGTGGTGAAGAAATTATGCTTTCTGTCTTATTTTTCTATATTTTTAACACTTTCTTACAATAAATATGGATTATTTTTATAATGGGAGAAAATAAACTGGAAAAATGATCTAAACCTTGTGATGCACAGCTGTGCCTCTACATAGGAAAGATCTATGAACACATAGTTAATATCCTCACACTGTGGATAGAACTGAGAACAGAGGATGAAACACAACTCACACCACTTCCCTTCCTTTGTATAAAGCATTCTGCTAGAATGTCTCAAGGGAAGAAATTAAGACCACGGGCATCTGTCAACTTTTAGAATAAATATATTCAAGCAAACTTGATGATAAATCAACTATCTTCAAAGCACGTCCCGTTTTTGGCCACTGGATTATGGAAAATATTTTACCAAAGGAAGTATTTTATCTTGTATTTTGACATGAGCATTTTGGGCAAAGATGGGTAAGTTTGAGCCAAGCTTATTTTAGACTGGGCTTTAAAAAGTTGGTAAATGGATTTTTCAAACGTGTGAACATTCACATTTTCATTTGAAGAGCTTAATTCTTGCTAACAAGAGAGTGATAGGAAGTGAAAAAGAGGTCAATGAGTTGAAGGTTCAAACAGGGTAAAAAAAATTATTCAATGGGAATATTAAAGTTAGTGAAAGAAATTATAGAAGGTAGATGGTAAAGAGAGAGTTCAGAGAAAGGGTGCAGACCCTAAGGGAGCTTGCTGATGACAGACTGTGTAATGCTGGTGTTGGGGTTAGGGGTGGAGGGCAGTGTGAGAGTTGGGCTATGCAGGGGATAAGAATTTATCTGTATGTACAGCAACAGAGACGTGGTAACGGGTATTCTGAACGACTTGGACTTTTGATGGTATTTGAGGTCAACTTGCATATGAGGCATAATTGCCAGGTAGAGACAATTGGGTGATCAAGTCAAGTCATGGCCCTTGGTCCTCAGCAGGACAAGTCCATAGAAGGTGTGAAAAGGTACGAAATAAACAAAATAGAGAGTAATCGCCACTTGAGTTCACAGTGAGGCAGAGGAGGCAACATTCTTCATTTTAATGTAAGTGCTGTCTGAGTTCTAAGAGGCAGAGGGTGTGATTGATCTAAGTTTCTTGAAAATGTCATTATCCCAATACATTAAGCTAATCAACATCATGGCTTGAAATAAAATATAGATCTAGGGGTTCCACTGAGTCATGTGTACAACTCCTGTTCCCTGCTGGTAAACAAGAGCAACAGGTGAACTTGCCTGTGCCAAGACCCTTCATGAAGGAAATCCCCTCAGAGGCTGTGGTCCCCACCCTTTGACCTCACTCCCAGCCCCACATACACCCCTGCGGGCTGGTCTGAATACAAAACGGCATCTTCCCATGATCGTGGGCGTTACCTGGAGCATAAGCCTGTCCCAGGTTTTGGTGACTCCGTTGTTTTTCCACTGGTCATCGTTGTTTGGAGGGCTGTTGTTTTGGTATCTCTCCAGCATCTGCTTCAGGAAGAGGTTGGGTGTGAACTGTGGAGGAGGCAACGACACAGGAAGGAGGGTTAGCACACTAATCCCCAAGGGGCAGTGATTTGCTTGGCTCATTGCTAAGGGCAGGGAACAACGTCTCCTGGAGTAAAACTGCTCAGAGGCACTGACTAGGGGTTGGGGTGAGTATGAGGCTGCTCTGGGTGGCTGAAGTGCCCCTGTAGGGAGAAATCCTCTTCTTCAAAGAAATCCCTGGGAGACCAGGGTGGACAAGCATTGCAGGGTGGCTCAGTGGGGAGTGGAGAAAAGAAGAGCAAGCAGGATGCTGAATTGAGAGGAAGTCTTAGATGTGGCAGATTGTTGGTTATCCTATTGGGAGCCAGTGGCCATGGCGAAGAGCACAGGGGTTGCCAGTCTGGGCCCTAGAGTCACACTGCCTGAACTCAGGACTCTTGCCTTCCACTTACCAGCTGTGTAATGTTGGACAAGCTACTTTAGCTTGTTGGGTTGCATTTATTTCATCTATAAAATGACAATAGTGGTAATACCCATTTCATAGGGTTATTATTAGGATTAAGTAAAATTATATGTTTATTATTAATGTGCATATTAGAGTGCCTGGTATGGAGTAAGGGTTTAATACCTGTTGGCTATTATCTTACTATAATGATAATGATGATCTACATGATTGCTTTGCTCTGTGCTGTTGGGATTTTACTCACGAAGTCTCGTTGTGTTGCTGCTGTGATACACGAGGCCACTTCAAAGCCATAGACAATGAACATCAGAATGAAATACTGGAAGGGAAACATTTTTTTTAAAAAGGAGTTACATTTACCTCCAAGGGAATTTTTAAATAATAATTGTTAGTTTTTTCAGTACAGGGCTGGGCAATATAATAATATTTATATTAAATAATATAATATTTATAATAAATATAATAATAAATATAATAATATTTATATATTATAATAAATAATATAAAAATAAATAAATAAATAAATAAATAATGTAAGAATAAACTCTGTTTCATGTACCCACAACTGTATACCTACTTTTGCCCACCCCTGCATAGTAATATAAATATAATCATCCAATTATTCACTTAGTTATTCAACAAACCCTCGTTGACCAGCTACTTGGAGCAAGACTTGGTGCTAATCAGCTCAATTCTCTCCTTTTGCTCAGAGAATAAATGCCCATTGAATGCAGAGCTTTCTCAGTCCAGTATCCTGTGTTTCTGTTTTAACTGAGAAGAACAAATACAAGAGAATGAACCGATTCTTTGGTCAGTGTTGGTGGGGGAACACAGGGAAAGCTGTTCTTTCCCCCTGAGCACTAGGCCCAGAGAAAAGCTTTGGCTGGAGGGTAAACAGCAGGAGCATCTTCAGAGGTCTCATAACATTTTCCTCCCTGTCTTAGCTGCTGTCTTGCTCTTTGTCAAGAGCTTGGCTGGCTCCTGTTAGAGAAGCTCAGAAACCCCTTGAGATACTCCGGGGAGGAGGCCCAGGCTGCAGGTGTTTTCTCCGCCAGCCCCTTGGAGGGCGCCCGGCTGCCTCTCTTTGTGGGGCATGGTGAAGTATTCTCTCCCAGCTCAGTTCTCCTGGCTGTGTCAGGCACACGTGACTGGCCAAAGTGAGACTGACATACAGCTGAAGCCTGTCTCTAGGGACATCTGTCCCACCCCTACCTTTCCCTGCACTTTTTTCCCCACCCTCCAAAAGTGGAGACTTTTGCTCTGGAACTAACTCACACTAAGGAACTAGAGAATGTAAATGATCTGCATTCCCTGGGTGCCAGGGCAATGTCAGAGCACAGGGATAGTCAACCAACAAGCACCTAGGTTGCTGGACTGGTTCAGTAAAGGTGGAACTCAGGTCTGGCAGCTTTGGGCTAGGAGATTGTTTCAGGGTGGGGAGTGGGGGTGGGGCCCCATCCCAGTGTGAGAAACTACTGTCTTGAGCCTGGGGGCAGAGAGTAGAGGTCTAAACCCAACCCAAGCATTCTCAGTTATGCTGATTTTTTGCAAAATATCTCAAATTTACTTCCTCTGCAAAGGCAGGGTGTATGCCTTGCTGTCTGTGGTTTGGGGCCAAAGCACCTCTGTGGGTACACAGAGTCAGAGCCTCCACAGGCAGGCAGGAGCTGAGGCTGCACTCCAGGCCATGAGCATCAAGCTCCTCTAGGACCCCGGAAAGCAGAGGGAATGCACAGTATAGGAAGTGCAGGCCAGCCAACACACAAAATCATCGGCCTTGAGCTCGAAAATGTCAGAAAAGGTTCGTGCTTTCTCTTAAAAATTCATGCATATTTTGTATTTTATATCCTAATATTAATCCTAATATTAAATAGTATTTTATATCCTAGTTTTAATACTGGCTAATATTACAATAGTTTTTTAAATCTCTTATTGTCAAGGAAATATCATCTAATTATGAAGTTCTCTCTCTGTCCTTTGGCCTATGTAACTCTTGCCTGTGCCAGTTGGATGCAGGCAGACACGAGTTGGAGAAGCACAGGTCTGGAAGATACTCGACAGGATCACCCCAGCGGTTTCCCCTTTGGGTTCCCTACACTGGAATCTTCTGCACTTGCAATAGCATCCTTGCCTCCACTTGAACAAGCTTCACTGCAGGGAGAGTCTTCCCCGCCTCTCATCTCATCTGGCACCCTCTGCCCCCCACTAAAGGCCAAAGCATTGTGCTCAGGGAAGAAGAAACAATTCATCAACATTGGTCGAGGAGACAACTGTAGAGAGATTCAAGGTCTTACCGCCAGAAGGAGTTTCCTACTGGACTTCATGATGCCTACAATGCCTAGAACGGACAGACAGAAGAGGCAGATGCCAACAAACATGCCGATCCAGGCTGCCCCATAGATGTCATCATTGTCGGTGGCTTCAAGCAGCGGGTAGAGGCTGTGTTGGTCGGATACAAAGAAGATGCACTCTGCGGTCAGGGCGATGCCACACATCTGGGGGCAAAAGGGCTCTGTCAGGCTGGTGGGAGAGCAGCATTGGGAAGGGATGGAGAAGTGGAGATGGGGGCAGGGCATAAGAGAGACTGGCTGTCTCCTGCATAGGCTTTTGCAACTGACTCGAACTCCTCATTGTCAGGAAATCAAACAGCTCCTTCCAGTCTACTAATTGGTTGCATGCCTCTGTCCACATGTTGCTGTCTCATTGCTATTAGGGAAAAGACCCGATTTCAGACCATTACAAAGTTCTTGGGGCATGAGCCACCCAAACAACATCATCTTGCATGAGGTTAATCTCCCATTTCCACTCCCCATTATACAAATTCCTAGATTATGATATTTAAACTGGTCCTGATCATATTTATCAGTGCCAGAGAGCCACTGAATATCAGAGCAGGAAAGAACCTAAATGGTTATCTCTCCCACCCCTGAAAGGTAAAGACTTGTCCAGAGTCCCACAGAGTTAGAGGCAGGGCTTGGCCAAGGGCCAGCGATCCTGACTCCTAAGTGCTCTCCTGCCACCATGTGCCCCTCAGCTTGACCCCTGAGCTACTCTCACATCCTGGAGTGGCCTCTGTGTGACAAGAACAAGAGGATGCACACGTATTTTACTAACACATTTCTTAAAATGAAGAAAAGATGTAGGGAGCCAGTAATTATATCTTTATTTTCCTTTAAACTTTCACTTTTTAAAAAAGATATATTTTTATTGATTTTTAGAGAGAGAGGAGGGGAGAGAGAGAAACATTGGGATGGGAGCAAAACATGGATTGGCTGCCTCCTGCACGCCCCCCGCTGGAGATCGAGCCCGCAACCTGGGCATGTGCCCTGATGGGGAATTGAACTGGCCATCTTTTGATGCAGAGGTGACACCCAACCAACTGAGCCCACACCAGCCAGGGAAAAACTTTCACTTTTGATTGATCTAAAATCATGATTATAGGAAGAGCAGAATTGCCTGAAAAAATACTCTTTACTTACACCAAAAATCACATTTCCAAAAATCAGCAAGCCCTGGAAGCAACGAATGGTGGAGTCGTCTTTGGCCATCTTCAGGATTTCCCCCAAACTGGAGACACAGTTGAGAACATTACAACTTCATAAGAGCAGGAGACAAATACTACTGCAAGTTTCATAACATGACTAAGTCACACCACCGTATTTTGTCTTCTTATTCCAAAGCATCTAAACCAAATTCATGAAATTATTTAGCAATGGAGGACATTTGGTTACTAAACTCAGTAATCACTGTAATTTTATAAGGAAGAAAAAAAGTCAAGCTTGCCAGAGTCTGATAGCATTATCAAGAATTCTTTAAGGTATGGAATATACAGATCACATACTTCTGAGTGATGAACTGAGGTCCTGAAAGTCAACAAGGGTAGACCTGAGGTGGTGATGACTGGGCGGGGCCGAAGCTCACCAAGGGGCCTTGGGATGAAACCCAAAGGGTAAACTCATGGCCAGAGTTGGCAGTTGGTTCCCAGAGGGACTATAGGCAGCTGTTAAAAACCATTATTTTCAGAATATTTTGTTATCTTTGAAAATAGTTGGCACTTGTTTTCTGGATCTATGAGTTTGTTTCTGTTTCATTTTGTTGGTTCACTTGTTTTTTAGATTCCACATAGAAGTGAAATCAGAGAACAAATTGTTGATTGCCAAAGGGGAGGGGGGGAAGGGTGGAAAAGAAGAAGGGGATTAAGAAGGGTAAACTTCTATTCATAAAATAAGTCATGGGGATGTAATGTATAGCATAGGGAATAGAGTTGATAACATCGTAATAACTATGTATGGTGAACGGTTACTAGACTTATTGTGGTGATCACTTTGTAAGGTATATAAATGTTGAATCACTATGCTATACACCTGAAACTAATATAATACTGTATTTCAATTATGATTAAAAATAAATTAATAAAAATAATTGGCAAATAAAAAGTACATTATTATGGAAGGGGAGGAGTGGGAGAAAAAAAAACTAACATATTTCATTCCTTGTATAAGGCACTCATTAGGTACTTTACATACACACATCTAAGTCTCATAACCCAAAATGTAGAAACAGCAAAAAGGTGAAGAGGCTCATTTTTCAGATGAGGAAACCAAAGCTTTAATTTAGGTAAGTTAAGTTCCTGGAGTTATACAGCCAGTATGTGTAAGAACTAGGCTGGAGATTTTGGTCTGTGTGACTCCAGAACCCAAGCTCATCCGCCCAGCCCGCACTGGCTTCCAGAAATTATTTACAAGGTTAAGTGCTTTGTATGGCACTAAAAATGAGTGGGCTTCTCCCTCCCTGAGGACTCCTTAGAAGGAACACAATGGTAGGTGTTTGGCTTTTGTGCTTGAATCACCTTGAGAAGAGCCATCCACCTCTCCCAATGTTTTATTTATTAAATTAATTAACTATCACTTCATGCATTCATGCTCTAAATAAAATTGTATTAAATGACACAACCTGCGTTTTGAGATATACAGAGAAATGTAAGAAAGATAGATTGTTGTGGTCTAAGATTTTATGCTCCAGTAGGGAAGCTCAGATATGTTTCTAAAGAGTTATAACACATCCAGGAGGACCCTAAGTACTGTGGGGGTTCTGAAGAGGGGAGATGTAAGCCATGCAGAATATTTATGGTTTTTGTTAAGTAGACTAGTAGTGTGTGGGTGTGAGAGGAAGGTCGGGGACTAGAGCCTGCAAGAGCCAGGAGCCTGTGATATCACAGTCTAGCCTGTTTGGCTGAAGTCCCGGTTTGTCTGGGGATCAGGAGGAGGCAACCCTTTTATTTTACTAAGACTTCACTAAATTTTTACTTCATTGTTATACTCTAATGTAAGTATTAGCAACCTTCCAAGTAACCTTAAACATCTCTAAGTATTTTCCCTTTCCTGTTCACCTGAGTAGCTGTGAGAACTGAAAGAGTTAAAATTTATAAGTGTTTTTGGTCCAGAATTGGGCACATAGTGGGCCCTCCTTCAATATTTGCTGAATAAATAGAAGAATCTGGCCATTGTTACAAGACCCCTAAGGTAGTTTCTACTTAGAAATGGCATTCATTTCTTTCTGCTTGGAAATGTCATTTCATGCTTAGAAATGTCACTCATTCTTTCCCAAGATTGTTACACACTAGACTGAGAGGAGCTGAGTGCCCTGAAGGAGTTAATGCACAAACTCCCCAAGAGGAACCTTACTCACGAAGCCAGGTTGCTCACATTGTAAAGTTCATGGTAACCAGTTGGGTTACTATCTAAACTTGAGAAACAAGTAAATTAGACCGTGAAAGGTAGAAGTTCAGAAAACACAAGAATAGAGAGTAAAGGGCAAGTTTCTGGAGAGGCCAAATTCAGCACCATTATCCACCACCACCGAGTATGCACCCATTTTTCAGGTAGCAGCCTATTTGTAGTGATTAGTTTGGCCTAAAGAACAGAAAAAGCACAGTTTGTTCTTTCAGGGAGTTTAAAGTGTGATTACAGCAGCGGGGATTCAATGCAAACATGACTGCACACAATGGAATAAAGGGGAAAATAGGGCCGTGGAGAAAAGGGAGGGAGGTCACCAAAGGCAGGCTTTACTGGCCCAGAAAGGAGCTGGAGGGACCCTGAAAAAGGATTTGGCCCCACTGACCCAATTATGTCTCTCAGCACCCATACTTCCCCAAAGGTGACTCTGCCACACAGTTTTCAAAGGGGGAGAGACGATCGAATACTTTGTGGGAGAACTGGAAGTCAGATTCAAGGTGGGAAAATGCAGACAGGAGTGGGAGAAAGAAGGAAAGAGGCACACAGGAGCGTGGTTCGAGGGAAAGAGTGAGGTGAGAAAACCTAGAACAAGCATGTGGAAGGAAATGCTAGGAGGCAGCCTGGCTGTGGGCTGGGGTATGGAAGGCAGGGATAGATCGATGGACAAGATATTCTGAAGTCTCGGATCACTAGATTTTCCTCCTGTCCTACCACACGCCCTCTTCTCCTTCCGGCCCTTGGCATCAGTGGCACATAATAACTTAGAAAGTCCCTCTTGTCTTTTAAAGTAATAAAATGATGATGAAAACTGTCATTAAACGAGCAATTATGATGGTCTCAGCACGTGCTCGGCACTTATGTTCATCTTCGCAACAGACCCAAGAGATTGTATTTTTACCAACATCTGTATTAGGTTCCTACTGCTGCTGTAATAAATTACTGAAAACTTAGTGCCTTACAATGGAATACTACTCAGCCACAGGGAAAATGAAATACTGCCATCCGTGACAACGCGGATGGACCTTGAAAATATTACAGTAAGCGAAGCAAGTTAGAGAAAGCTAAGAGCCGTATGATTTCACTCATGTGGGATATAAAACTGAAACTCCTAGACACAATAGTATGGCGGTTACCAAAGGGAAGGGGGGTGGGGAGGCAGTAAAGGGTAAAGGGAGCCAAATATATGGTCATAGATGATAACTTTGGGTGGTGGGCACACAGTGCAGTACACAGATCCTGTATCATAGAAATGTACACTTGAAACCTATATGACCTTATTAACCAATGTCACCCGAATAATTTAACTTAAGTAAATAAAGAGAAAGAAAGAAAAGAAAAAACCCAAACCACACAAATGTATTCTTACGGCTCTGGAGGTCAGAAGCGAGAAATGGGTCTCACTGGGCTAGATTTGAGGTGTGAGCAGAGCTGCCTATTCCTGGAAGGTCTGGGGGAGAATCTACTTTGCAGACAAAGAAAAAGAGGCTTGAAGAGATTCCTTTGCTTGGCCACATTGCTAGAAAATGCAAAAGCTGTGATTCAAACCCAGGTCTGCCGGGCTCTGGATCATTTTCTTAACACTCTGCAGCTTATGAAGTCCTGCCCCATAGCTAATGCCTTCAACAGAACCCCCCCCACACGCCTGGTGCTCTTCCTTGCCAACCCCAGGAGCAGAGAGAGCTGACGTATTTTCCCTGCTCAAGTGATCCTGCCTTCGCAAAGGTCAGAACCCCCAGGCCTCTCTCCATTCATTTCTCCAGGATCTTGTCTCCTTAGTCCCTGCACTGCACTAATTTCCCCCGAACCCAGTGCCGCACCCACACGGGTTTCCAGGAAATCTGTCTAGATGTGTTCCACACCTGGAGCTCTCTCACCCACCCCTCGGGAATGAAATCCCTGGAAGTAAAAGGTACAAAGTGCAGGTCCATGTGAGAGTCCACATTTCATAGCCTCTCCTTGGCATTTGTGTTTAGACTTGGTTGCTGTCTAGAGAACATAAAACATTTGTTCCACCCACTAAAGAACCACAAATGTCAAGAGGGAGGGCAGTTAGGGAGCCAACCACGCCTTGGCTTCCGGTGGTTGGCTCACAGCTGTGGCAGTCTCGAGGCTGTGGTGACAATCTCGCAGCTCTGGTCTAATGGGAAATTACAAATAATAAACCAGGGGGATATTTAAGAAGGGCGGAGTATCAGGTTATGGTTTTGTTTAATGCACCGGTGGCCCTTGGGGCCTAGGAGGGAGGGTCTGGGTAAGTGGTCCCACCACCAAGGGCTCCGAGGTTGAGGTGAAGCAGCCCCTTCCACCTTCCCTCTGCTCCCTGCCCAGGGACCGCTCTGCTGGAGGGGCCTGGAGACCTTACCCACGTGTGCTTCTTTTTATTTTCCACAGAAAGGGTCATGGGAAAAAACCATTTCTTTGGGAGAGAAAAAAAGCTTCCCAGTTGTGCTAGGGGTGTGGCCAGAGTCAGATACTGGGCAGCACGTCCCCATGGGAGAGGCCCTCTGCATTCCACCAGCATTCCTGGGCGGCTCACACCCAGGGCCTTAGCCTTCTGGCTCTGGCCAGGGGATGCGGAGGTGAACCTTGAGGCTCTATCTCCTCTGTACCAGGGCTGCTTTCTCCCGATGCAGACATGCCTCAGGGAGGACTCTGTTCTGCTCCCTTTGTCCATTCTTTCCTCCTGGTATCAACCTAGGAAGGGCGTTTCCTGCATTTTACTATAAGAGTCTCCAAAACAGGCGAGGGCACCGGGACCCTGTTTTATTTGTCTTTCTAGGTCCAAGGTGGCACAGTGCTTGAAACATAGTAGGCACTCAATACATTATTTTGCTAAATAAAAGGGCAGATGAAGTAAATTTTAAAAAATGTGTATTTGAATGGATGAATGAACATATGGGTGTAAAATTTGCCTAGACCTTTATTGCAGAACTGGCTA